GAAATAAGCACCGGATAGGAGTCCTAATCCTTACCTATAGTATTGAAAACCAGGCAAACCGTTTTGGCTGGAGTTCTTTTTTAAGGTAAAACCCGACTGAACATTCAGTTCAAATCGGTCCAGTTGATTCCAGGCGCATCACAGCAAAAGCTGTGCCAAGGCTTACAGTTCATTTTCTGAGTAGAAAAGCCTGTCCCCTGCCAGCATGCTGCAGAGAAGGACCATTGGAAGCAGTGGTGTCTCTACAGAAGTATGACAACCCCTCCCCTCCCCCCTACTGCTGAGAAAGACCTTTGACCCTGCAAAGGTCATACTCCCTGCTGATTGGAGAGCACTGATTCTGCAGGAGCGGTGTCAGACCTCTGCAGAAAGCCAGCCACAGCCTGAGTAGTAAAGCCTCCCCCTGCCAGCATGCTGCAGAGCTCTCCCTGCAGAGGTATGACACACCCCCTAAAGCTCATGCTCCCTGCTGATTGGAGAGCACAGATTCTGCAGGAGCGGTGTCAGACCTCTGCAGAAAGCCAGCCACAGCCTGAGTAGTAAAGCCTCCCCCTGCCAGCATGCTGCAGAGCTCTCCCTGCAGAGGTATGACGCACACCCCTACAGCTGGGGCAGACCTGTAGCCCTGCAAAGCTCATGCTCCTTGCTGATTGGAGAGCTCTGATTCAGCAGGAGCGGTGTCGGACCTCTGCAGAGAGACCACTGCCCTCCCCACAGAGAGCAAGGCACCTTCTCTGCAGCATGCTGGCAGGGGACAGACTTTTCTACTCAGGCTGCTGCAAAAAAAAGTCTTGCACTCTTTCAGGTTGAGTTGCGTACAGTCGCTGCTGGTGAAACATTTGATATAAAGTAATGCCCATCAAGCAGCTGGTATAATGAGCTCAATGCTGATGAGTGGCGATAAGGCAAGGCCAGACCCTTATCCCTTCCCCCCCCCCCCATGCATTTCCATAACCTTGCTTACTCCATTAACATGCTTGGACACCCCAGCCTGACAACGCTTCTGCTGCCTTTCCCTAGCTAGCTTCCCTATCCCTGCATCACGTCCACTTTGCTTTTTCAAACCCAGGGCCAGTTTTTGAGCAAGAAGGGCATTGGCCATAACGCAATTACTTTTTGTTTGTTTTGCATTAAAGTTTTACACTTTTGTACGATTTGGGGGTTTATTTTAAAGGGGAATGTTAGTCTTTTAGGTTTTTCCAACCA